CTCCCGTAATTGGGTCACCTCCTTGCATTCTGGGTATTTAGTTCCTTCAGTTGGTACATCGTTACACTTCTGGAATGGATACGTCCAGCAGCCATCGGCCTCACTCAGTTGATCTTGTGACTTGAAGTCATTAGCTGCGAGGGCCGCGATTGATGACAATGAATCAGTAGATCTTCAGTTAAGTTCCTCACCAACAACGACACTCAAATATTTCAGAAATATCGTGGCATCGTTGAACTCTCCATTATCGACTGAAAATGAGATATGTCATCTGTTCTAGGAAAGGAACCGGCAATGCCGATCCGCCATTATTTGTAGTTGGAATTTCCAACTTGGGAACTCAGAGCATCCATTTGCGGGATTGCAGCAGGAAGTGGCGTAACCAAAGGATAGAATCTCCGTGATTTTGCCACCGGACTTGATGCACAGACGATCATTCAATACCCCAGTGGGGCCTACTGCCAATTAATTGCCACGCTATCATTGATCTCTGAGCGATACATCTTTACCAGAAACTGACCATGGAAGCGGCAGTAAAGATCACCGTTAGCACGCCTGAAGTATTCTCACCGCTTCACTTCATGGTGTGATCGAAGAGGCGTCGGGGACTCAGGTCGTCACCCCACCCTAGAGAAAGTGAAGAAGACAGCAAGATGACTAAGGAGTGGCCCCTTATTTCGATTGGTTTGGATCAAGGTGCTATGAACTGATGGCAAGTGGCTAATTTCGAATCCCATAAAACGAGGAAGAGCTGACACGAACATGCATGCTAAACCACCTACCAAAGTAGGGTCAAATTTTGACGTCCTACTCGACCGTGATCGTATTCGGGTTGAGAACTCTGGTCTCGGGGTCTCAGGTTTAGCAATATCTTCAGGACGATGTGCATGTACAGAATGTTGATATGGATAGATCTGGATACGTACAGGGGTGGGGTAGCGTCAAAAGCAATGCAGACGATCGAGGCTCATATCAACCCCCGTGCGAGGGGGATGACGCATACTCAGTTACCACCATGTCTATACGCGATATGTACCAGGCAGAGTTCTCGTTACTAATGAGTGACTAGCCGAAAATGCCCTTACGCTTTGCGAATTTGGGCTCCTCGAAATAACCATTTTCGCGAGGATTAACGGTTGTGTTCATTCGATTTGTGCTCTCATCCGTCGAGTTTGAAACTGTTGAAATTCAGTCCTCTATCAAACGTTGAAACCATCCCAACGGCACTCTCCCTTGTGATAACTAAACACTGTGGACGACGCAGTTCATGTTACAGTGAAAACGATAGCAGAGTCATCAACGTCCATCCTATGTTCATGGCGGTGATGGTGATGGAGACAAACCCGAGAGCTCCCGTGTTTGATAACCTTCACTTAAAGTCTTAGACGTCTCCGACGATCCCTGCTCGGACGAGTTCGCTGTCCGGATCGGTCCTTGATCGCTTCCTTCATCTCTGTCGTGATCGGTCACAGCCAGAAAGATCTCTTGACAGACGCTTCGTCGGGACGGAGTGTCCTCTCACTGGACGCTGATCCTCGGTCGTTTCAAAAACCACCAGTCGTTTCAACTTGATAAGTTGAACTTATCCTTAGCCTCAGGCCCCGTATACAGAACTTCAGTCGATTACTCATTGTCCAACGTTACCGGAGAAGCCGCAGTAGAGCTGACCGAAGGGCGAGAAATGGTAAGCTGTTTCTCCTCTTCCGGGGGCTACAAGGAAGAGTGCATGAGCTCATGGATCTTCATAATCATAATATTCTACCGAGTTGCCTTCGAGATATTCCAGGGACCTCCTCCACCAAGCACTCTCTTCCAACCCACCCTCGTCAGGACGTTCAGCATCGAACATAAACATAGTCCCGGCAGCAAGTGTTCCTAGTGAATAGAAACAGATAATGGATAGCAGCGAGTATTGGGCACACACGGCGAGGTACACTCTTGGCAATACCATGGCCGCACGCTCCAAAAACACTTTGAACCACCAGCATAACGTGCGCAAAAGGAAACAACAGCTGCCCAGTATTAAAACCGAGCTCTTGGGGGTTGATATAGCTTCTTGCCATTATCACTCCCGTCTTAGCATTGTTGTATACATCACTGGCTAAATCGATGGCTTCGACTAATTCCCACTGGCGTCATCCATTGTAGGCTCCACCTCACGCAAGTGTAAGAGCTGGAAGGTTTCAACCGCCTTTCACATAGCTATACGGCTCTATTCGTACTTGCAACCGAGAAAGATCACAGCATACGACACGATCCTGTCGTTGGGAACGACAAAACCCTTGTGGAAATAGAAGCGCTGGATGATAACAGCGGCGGCTAGTGGCACCTCCAATGACCTATTGGCAATAAGAGCTTGAATAAGACGGCACATCCATGCATGTGAAAAAAACTCGGTTCACCTTGTGTGGGCGAGGGGAGCAACGGGACGGACATTAACCAAGTACAAGCTACGAGAGATACTACGGTCATTCAGAGCAATGAGAATAACACAACCACGAGCTGATTCAACCAACTTTGCGTCTAAGCAACAGATCGTCGCTCTGGAGACGACTGACCGGAGTATCCGTGACGGGCTCATAGTATCCCTAAGAAGAGATCAACTTTACTCTTGAGCCAATGGCAACAGCTTTCACCTGACTGGCATCTTCCTTACACACCAGTAAGGTGTAGTAGCGCTCCAGTTCGTCCGGATCAACCTGTTGCTTTCTCGCAAGTAAACCAATGACATCTGTGAGCGGCATCTAACAAGACAGCGTCGAGCTGGGAAGCCTCTGCGTCAACTCTATTCACTTGATCGTCAACAAGTAAATTCGTCTTTGTGATTTGCCGTGAACTATCCCCTGAATCCAAGTCCATGAGCTCCGGTGGTTGCAGTTCAGCCGACGGATCGTCAATTACCCGTATCGTGAGGGTCTATGGGATCAGAGGCGAGCTCGACATAAGCCTGCTAGCTATATGCTTACGCGCTGTTGTGTAGCATGAGGACGGCCGGTTGGTGCTTGTGACGATACACCACTGACGCTAGCCCGAGCAGCAGAACTTCGCGCGATCGATCGCTGCATTGCTGAGCTCTCAACAGATTGGGTTTCGCCCTCACCACGAGACATTGACGCGCTGCTCTCACTCCCTGACGAAATTCACTCCAATACGCATCTGGCAAATCCTGTTCACCTTCAAAACCATCACTATCGTCACTATCTTCGCCCCAGTCAGAGTAACAGAAGCAGAGCTCTCTAGTATTGAGAGCTCCTACTGCCCGATAGCTGTCCAGCGCTGGTAAGTCCATATCCGGTTCGACAACAGCACGATGATCTGAAGGAGACAATAGGCATCAGAAAACGTTACAGTGGTAGGCAGTACTGCTGGAAACAGAGCCAGCCTCATCGTCATCTATCCAACGGAGGTGATAGGAGTGTTCAAGAGGTCTGAGCAGGTAGGATCTACTGGTAACATCACTCGGAGTATTTTCTAAAACTAGGCGATTCTAGTCAAACGGCGAGGTTTTTCGCAGCAGAGATAGACTAGTATACAGCATAATATGTGGCGTCGTCGGCTTTATGAAGGATGGTGGCAATAATTGGTACACGATTTTCAGATACCCAACAGCTTCGTCGCTACTGGTCTATACCTCAGTCCAAACTCGTCAGTATGTTCATTGAGGATGAGCGTCTCTAGTTCTTCGACTTTCATATCAAGAGGGACGCGCACCTGATGCTCGTGTCTTGTAAATCCTTTGACGAGTTTCACCGGAAGCTTACCTTGCAAACCCGCTTAGAATCAAACGGTGGTACATATACATCTATCTCGACAACGTCTCGGGCTCCACCCGTCTGGAAGGGGAACTATGCGAGTCCAAGAAAACAAGCAGGAGCATACCAGGGCGCTCGCGGTGGGAGAAACGTCGCCCCCAAAGCCGATCACTCCGGCGTCCATTCCTGCCACACCGAGACGTTCGATTCTGGAAAATGAACCGGTCAAGCGATTCTAGCTTTGATGATGCTTCACTCTCTCATGTGGCGCGCCTTTCTCGCAGCGTAGTGGTCAACCTCCTGAAAATCGTAGACCTCTTCGTCGCTGCTTTCCGCTGGTTCTGGTAAGCGAGCTAACAGCACTCAACGTATATACACACGGGGAGCCAGAGCAAGCTTACGACGGAAGAGCGGTCGTCTCGGGAATAGCGTTGAGGTCTCACCGGGTGCGACTCGGGGCTTGAAGGGGACCACCTGTAGGAATATAAGACCGCATAGAAAGGATCGAACCTAACCACTGTGGGAAGATATGCGCATAGTCGACTACATGTGCCGGTGACCATATAAAAATTCTAAGCAATTCTTGTTGGTTTCTTCGCACTCCTATCCGAATGCTTAGGAAAACTAATATAAATTCCAACACTGAGCTGACCTGTGGTTGGTCATTCTTAGACTCGGCTTGAATGAGCTCCATCTGCGGACCAACATACTCCCTATTCCCCTTCTGCATTGCTAGGGTAGCCATTGTCCTCGTTCGAGGCCTACATTTGCCATAAAAGAGGAGGGCGAATTAGGGAGCATACATTCCAGGAGAGTCCAGTTCTTTAGAGAGACCGGCCGGTGCCTGAATTTAGCACAACTGTCGTCCAGAAGCATGAGAAGCCTCACTTGTGATCTGAGCCTTCCCATACGGTCTACTACCATATCCGTTTCATCATAGTATTTCTGTGCTTGACGAGGCGATAACACTAAAGCAATAAAAATCACGACCACTCATCGCGCTGGATGGAATTCTAAGGACGTACACATGAGCTCTTCGTATGTATACATCTCAGCATCATCCATCAAGTCGTCTACCGCCGAGTACCTATAGTGAGAGGGACCTAGCCGGGCATGCTACTTAGTCAACTCACTTAGACGTCCGATCTATTGTGGGGTCGTCATTGCCATGACCCAGACGAGATCCTTTGAGACCACCTCGGGTGTCGAAGAGTAGCTGCAACGTGTGAGTCGAAGTGAAATCCATAACTTAATAAAACATTAAAACCGTTCAACTGTTCAGGCTTAATTCCATGGGAACCCAATGGACAGCTACACTGCTAAGTGTTAGCAACGGTCAAGATCATGCGAGGAAACGATGCGATGATGCTTCACAATGCCAGCGAGGATTCAACTGCAAGAGAGTCCTAACATGGTAAACACGTAAATGATATGTTCCGCTCAAAGATGTACCGATCACGCTGACCTGCCGAGACCAAGGACCCCGGGGGCATACAGAGCACGACGGTAAACTTAGTCGGAGGTAACAGGCACAGAGGGAGTCGGAGTTGACTGGAGCCCATGATGCCGTACCGAAGGTCTCGCTAATAGTACTCTAGCTGAAGTCTAATCGACTGCTACTAAGATAGGTATCATGTCAGGAGCATCTCGAAGAGCTGATGATAGTATACGCAGTATACATCACTGCATCATTTGACTGTTGCCCACTGAAGGTTTACGGCACCCTCGGGCGCGGCAGGCACAAGGCCTCGCTCACTAATGGAGGGCGGTCCAAAGAGGACCATGAGCAGAGTGTCGGTTTTCTTAGCATCCTCCATCGCTACTCTGCGTCACAATACCTCCCCAGTTGACAGTAACAAACTGTGATGTAACACCCTTATTCATTGTAGCCTCGAAGGAAACTAGATATGAGGCTACGCTTCTTGTATCACACAGGCTTTAAGGCTTCATAGGCAACATTGAGCCTAGCTGTGAGTACAACGGATTTTCTGTACGTGATACCGCATCTCGATATACCATCGGTCAATATTCTAACCACTTCCCCATTACCTCCTCTCGTTCAACAATGAGCACCTTCATATGACCCACACTTGTCTCGGACATGTGAATGGTAGCATTCGAGGATGTGCTGGGTTCCACCTCCGCCTGGGACCCGAACTATGCCGTCTTGAGAAGGCTATATAAGAGATTAAACGACTCAAGCAAGCGTTCGACCACTATACAACCCAAAACCCAACAAGTGCAAAAACTGTATGCATCTGGAAATTCGCCTTTCAATTTTTCCGTTTCTTGGTAGCATCCTCGTGATCAGCCGCCACAGGCACCAGCAGATGGTCGTCATTCTCGTCAGTGGAGAGCTGACGCTTCAACAACGTCGGGATTAGTGCCAAACATCCTAGACCCAAGAGGACCTACAAAATACAAAAACAGCGCACAGAATAGGGAGAGGTGCGCTATGGATACACTACTAGGAAGTTCTTAGCGTTGAAGCTTCCCACGTGCTGGATTTCAGCGAGTTCGCTGCCCATGTTGACCAATATAATATTATTCGGAATAAGACCAAGCAACGTACCTGTACGGGGAGGAAGCGTAGGAGGTGCGGTATCAGAACCGTAATACCAAAGAAGAACGTCCTGGAGTTCAGTCCGAGGTTCCCTGTAGAGATATTTATGAACCAATTAGGCACTATTGGCGTAATACGTAAAAACAACATGTACCTGAGTTCACAGAAAACTGACCAGAATCACTCAGCGATTATCACCGCAAAGAGCGGTGCGAAGAAATATGCACATGGTCAACTATATGTGTGGTCGACAATATGAACATTCTGAGATTCATATTTTCGGAGAATTCTTGTTGGTTTCTGTACACTTCGTATATGAACTCCTATCATTAGTGAGGAAATCCCTAAGCTCAGTTGAGGAGAGCGAACATATATTCCAGCACTGATATAGAGCACAGCAAAGACTACCAGAACAAGCTGTCACGTCGCTTGTCCAACTGCCTCTTGAACCTGGTCATTGCCGGGCGGAAGAAATGCATCACAACTGGACGGCCCACCACACGGAAGAGTGTATAGCAGAGAGTAGCGCCGGCCGTAGCACAGGTCGACACCAGAAAGAATCCCTTCATCCCTGAACATGGAAAAATAGCAGCGAAGAGTAGAGTGAGGAAGCGCTACTCCCGAATAAAGCTCCCGCTAGTAGGGATAAGAATATAGGCCCTGGAATGGCGAAGGTCTGCAGGAAGGTATATGACGCACAAAATAGTAGCAGCACTTCCGTGTAGTGACCTTCGATGTAGAACTCGAGAGTTTCTTGTACCTTCCCATGTTATTTAAGAGGCGCACTACCTGGCCTATTACTACCACTAACATATCCTGACCCGTTGTGTTAGTCAGAAGCTGAGTAAAACTCTTATCACCGAACGTTGTGTGAAGCTGATTCCTATACAGTTTGCTCAAAGGAGGAAACCCCTGATAGAGGAGCCACATCATGCACAGCGATGTAGCGAGGAGCGTGAGTAGAAGGACCTGTACAATACTGATCGACTCCACAGCCATAGAGCGGGTGCACTACCAATGACGTCATATAGGAGCCGAACGACTTATCCTCTTCTTCGCCACAAGATCGATCCGCGGTCTGAGCATTAATTTTCGACTTACAGCGGAGTTTTCTAGTACCTCTACTTTGCCCGATATCACAGAGCTCTCCTCAAGGTTGTCGCCTGAGGAACAGCGGTCAAGAGTATACCACCTACGATGTCGTAACGCACCTGCCAGCCTGGCGCTTCGCCGTGGCCGTATTTCCACGTTATCCATTCACAGACAAATATGCTACGACACGTTCCTCGCTGCCTCCACTCTGAACTCAACATGAGTTCACTATGGACAACACAGTTCAACTGCCCAGCAGCGACACGCTTCATTCACTTGATTACTCCAGGATGACAGTAGCTGAGGCAAGGGAGTAATGCTACTCTCAAAAACCTCCTAGTTAGATCATCACGAAGTTCTTCAGAGTACCCTACGCATTACAGGAATCAAATTGGTTGGCACTGGAGTTGCTTTTTGATAGACTAACCCGTATCATCTTGAACTACGGCTCCTAAGCCTGGTCCTCGAAAGGCCGGCTGGGGACCAATTTACACGGCAGGCGATCTCTCGGACACCAAGTGACGTTCGTTGGGTTGACTGAGCTGTGAGTGACTACGGCCGGGGGGGCTCATCGGTCAAACCAGTGATATGAGACGAAAGCTCCATCGCAAATACTTCACAATACCGAGTCAGTATGGTGTACCCAGTACCGTAGCTGGGGGAGTACCAACCCTCACGCGAGTCTATTGTGTGAATTTGAAGTAAGACCGGAAATTATACTAATTACCACATCAGCGCCATCTCAGCCAGCATTTGTTGATATTGCTCCAGCAGTGAGAGGGACGACGACAGCACGACCACTGGAGCTTTTTTTCTCCAAACACCTCGAAAAAAACAACATACTCGTCGAACCAGCATCATCTGGATGCCCTCTCTCTCTCTCGCTCTGGGCCGCTGTTCGGCCGGGCGACTCTGTAAGGCCACGACGGACTTATCAGAGTTGATAAGGTCAAAAGAAGTATATGAAGGCTGACCAGGCCTATGAGGGTTATAGAGAGGCCAGTAGGCCAGAAAATACCAACTATATCTGGGTCGGGATTGCTATAGGTTACGTTGCTCGCGTCTTAGAAGTGGCACTAGTCTAATTCGGCCCCTACTGTGGATAACAAACTTTTAAAATTTGGAATTTTTGAACGTTTCAACTCGAGTCGAGAGCGCAGCGCGTGCCGCTGGGGCATGCCAAAACTATCCGGAAGGGCAAAGAATATAAAAACGCTGGGTGCAAGGTATCAAACCCCCTGGCAAAGTCTTTGGCATTGCAGCAGCATGCTCCACCTGCTCAGCAAATCCTGCTGAAAGGCACCATCCAAATTGAAACTCAAAAGTAGATTCACTATCGCATAGAGCAATTAGTATGTACGTCATCCACGCATCTCCGGCCCTGTAGATGACGAAACAATTCATGATCATACTATTGGAGTTACACAGATCTGCGACTTAACTTCACAAAGTGAAATTGTGCTGTTTTATTGTTTTGCACGCAGTATCCACATGCCCGGGGAAAAATTCCGATAACATACACTCTGTATGATACAGGTGATTCATTGATTTTGTTGGCGAAGAACAACCATCCAGAACTACTCGGCCTTGCTGCTCTGGGATGTCAGCGTAGCCTTGTGAACCGGGAAACATGCGAGTGCACCCTTCAGATTTCCTAGTGCGGAAGCATACTTGCTTCTTTGGACTTCCCTGATTCGGCGTCGGACGCCTTGCTCAAAGGATTCCGATATCGAGGTCATCCGTTCTGAACTTGCTTCACAACGCGTAGAGGGTCTCTACTAGAGACTCTGGCAGGTCCTTCAAGGATCCAACGTATGCAACCCCATAGCAAGGGCCGTCCTTGCTATGGGGTTGCATACGGTGGGATTGAAAACTGCACACGTTAGGACCGCACAGCCGGTTTTTGTCCGGTGGCCAGCTAGAACATTGTCATGGCTCACCTCAACATTGGGCCTGTTTCACAAGGATACTTAATTTAAGGCGCCTTAAATTTAGGAGCTACTTAAGGAGTTACTTGAGGTATACTTAAGAACTCATTTCACAACGTTAAGAAGCAGCTTGAAGGCTCCTTAACTCAACTCACTAGTAACTTAAGGAGCGTTTTTTAAGTGTAAGGCGCAATTTGCTCCTATGAAACAGGCCCATTAATGTGGTCATCATTAATATTCTGTGGCGCGCGAAATTTTCCGCATAACCAGCTTGTGCGGCCTACAGGGTCTAGGTTAGATCACCGACGCACAGTACACGAGTAGACCAACTATAGAGAAATGAAGGAGTCGAGACATTGAGGGTCACCGTTGTAGGCGATTGCCCAAATCTTCGTAATTGTACCGGACGTACCGTACCTCCATGCGCGACCGTAGAGTGAAACCGAAGAGAGCTGCTGTGGTGATATGTGGCGGGAGCATCATCCGAAGACACTATGTGCGGCGAAGTGAGGTCTGCCAAACGGAAATTCCACCTTGATACAATTTATGCCGGGCTCAGAAACCTAGGTGGCACGAATTGTATGCTAGGGAGATGCATACAATTTGCTCCCTCTCCTCAAGTCCAACTCTCCCGGAGAGTCTCTCCGTGAATCACAAGAGAGGATATAAATATAGTTAATAAATCCTTTACCCAGGAGGCCCTCTCACAAGCTACAACTTCTCAACAATGGAGTACAACTTCTCAAGTAGTGAGACATAACTCCAGGCATGGTTGGAAAGGAAGTACGTACTAAGACAGCAGAAAATAGTGTAGTAAGATAGGACAGTGGAGCGAGTGGTGTGACTACATCGCACTTCACGAATGAGACACTACGTGATGAGTCGACTCACGCGTTTCACGAGTGCATCTTCGCACACCGCGGTAAGCTACACTGGATTTGTCCATTGAGTTGGTGCTTTCACTGGATTGTAATAGTAGATTGAGTAATAGCCGAAGGTTTCTCGTCCGCGTTAGGTATGAGCATCGAGTTGAAAAAAAGCGTAACTGCTTTGAGGCGAACAGCAGCTCTTCACTGAAAAGTTAGTAGCTCCGTTTATCATTCCGATGCTGAACTTCCTCCTCGTTGTCCTATTGATACGTGGTGGGGTATGTGTCTTCAAGATGGGCAACACTCGCATGCAGATGAAGACGACACATTTCTGCAACCTTGACTTGAGGGACATCCAAGGGAACCCAGTGGCATGCCACATCTCCAAGGCTATGGAGACTGAAGGGCTGGTCCTACCTGGTATGGATGATAACAAGTCGTTCACGGTTCATCGAGACATCTTCGTCGTCAAGGACGGTCAAGCGGTAGTTCAAGCAGCGCCAAGTCACCCGTATCTGTATATCCTCATGAGCCAGAACGACACGCACTTCAGCACCTCCCAACTCTTCAACAGACAGTCATTCCTCCTGGAGCAGGGAACCAGGCAAAAGAATGATACGCCCGATGGTCGCAGGCTCAATGCCAATCTTACACTCGAGGGTGATGGTTGGGTCCATAAAGGTTTGGTAGACGAAGGTGGACAGAAGCTTCACAAATGGGTCAGAAGTGGAGTAGAAGGTGTTGATCCAAAATCCGGTCTCAACTTCACTGCCCTCGCCCAGACTGGTGTAATCACTAACGCTTGGGTTCTCTATCTTGACAAGGATCAGAAGCAGATCGTGAAGCTCTTGGGTATTAACACCTTCGAGAATGATAAGGTCTATCTCGAGTCTGAGGTCACTCACTGGGAAGAGCTCGACGATGCATTAACTTTGGATGTTGCCATGAAGGATATTCACGCGGCATATGATATCGTCAAGAGCCACAATCAGGCAGCAGCAAGAGAGGAGGCGCCACAACTAGACGCTGAGTTCATCAAGACCCGCTTGGTTGGCGAAGAGGCTCGTCTATTCTTCAACGATGGGAAGAGCCACGACTGGAGGTCGAACAAGACTCATATTCGTGGAGATAAGTCGGTGGCACCGATCGATTATTTTCGCCTCCCCAATGGCACTGCTGCACATAAGTTCTTCCTGTACAAGTATCACTCTCCTCTACAGGAGAAGGATGAGGAGGAGTTCCAATTACCACCGGCTTGCAGGAATGGTGTGACCAAGTTGGTCAGTCAATACTGCCTCTATGTTGGTTATAGCTCTAACGACACGCTACTGGCCCTCGATCTATATATGGCTTATACCGATCTAGCCATTGCGGAAAATAGAGCACACCTTAACGTCACAGTCCATTTGAAGCAGCCTAAGACGGAGGTCCTACTCTTTGCTTTCGAAGCCGCTGGATGTGCCCTGGTTTGGGCTGCTGATATTGGCTTCGCAGGCTTGCGCATTCAAGTATGTCTCACGGGTGCAGGCAGCGGTGGGAATGGCACTTACGCGGGGAAAATAGCGATGTCGGTCGCGGTCATAATCAGAGTTGCTTTCGTCCCTGCGTTAAAAGCCACACTCTCTGGCCAAGTTGCGGTCAATGCTTCGGACAATGGTGATGTCAAAGCATATGGTGAGCTGGGCATTGATGTCTCGGCGGTGGTTGTTGGAGCGGGTATTTCTCTGGACATCTTCGGAAACACCGTTGATCATAAATCGGACATCTGGGAATTTAAATCTCATTTCAACCTCCACGTATGGGTCGATGTCTTCTTGTACAGCCATGACTGGCCATGGAGCTGGACTATTTGGGAAGCTGGTCCAGTCAAATTGCGATAAATCGGCAAGTCCGTGTCGACGGTATATCGGGGGCATAGTTTCAGTCCCATGTGAAAGCCCCATGGTTATCTCATACAAAAACGTCATGCCTTTATCATGTTTTAAATTTTGTTGAAGAACTTTCGAGCACACGTGTAATCGTGAAGTAACATATTCGAGTCACATTGGTCGCGTTCGTCGACGACTGGCTCATCATGAGCCAATTCTGATTCCATTTATGTTGTCCTATCTGATTCACTATGCTGCAAGCGGATGATCCACTGCGGATCTGAAGCGTGGCGCTCAGGAGAGTCGCAGTCCAGAAGTTAGCTGACTCTTTTCAGATTGCTCTGTTGTGTTTTGGCCAGTAAGGAATTGTCACATCACTAACCAGTGGTTAGTAACCACATCATTCAGCCCGGGTTGATCACCTATGTCAGAACTTGACGACAAGGTGTACTTCATGTCAGAACTTGACGACAAGGTGTACTTCGCAACACCTCCAGCATGGGTCGTTTATGAGTCGCTTAACCTCAGCTATAACAAACCGTGTGCTCCAGTAAGTTATTCCATGGAAACTTTCCGTCGGAAAGTCTCGCTAGAGGCTGGGCCCCAGCCGCTGGGGTCAACTCCAGCGTAAGTGATTCGACTGGGTGAGCGAGCTCGGCCGCTCGTAGGTGCTTCAATAGTCCAAGCATTCTGAGTGAAAGTCGTTGGTAATTGGCAGATTTTTTCCCTCCCTAGGATTTTTCTGTAGTCGATCCATCGGGATATAACGCCAGCACGTTCCATCTCGTGCTCGTTGACTTTGAACTTCAAGGTTTGAAGGCCGTGGTTGGTCGAGATACTCGGCTCGAGAAGCCTCTTAAGGTTTGGACATTGACCAGACAAGGAGTATGCTGAAGCCTACGAACGCGTCATAGAGCGCAGATCCTGTCTTCAGTTTGAGTACTTAGTTGGCCGTGTTGCTGGTGAGGGGTATTACTAATACCGTATTAGGAACGCGTCATCGAGCGCAGAACCTATCCAGGATAGGCTATCCTCAGGTCGAGTGCCTAGTTGACCATGTTATTAGTGAGAGGCTTAGGAACGCGTCTTCGAGCGCAGATCCTGTCCTCAGTGGGAGTGCCTAGTTGGCCGTGTTATTAGTGAGAGGTTTAGGAACGCGTCTTCGAGCGCAGATCCTATCATTAGCGCGAGTGCCAAGTTGAACGTGTTATCAGCGAGAGGCTTAAGAACGCGCCTTCGAGCGCAGACACTATCCTCAGTGTGAGTGCCTAGTTGGCAGTGTTATTAGTGAGGGACTTAGGAACGCGTCTTCGAGCGTAGATCCTGTCCTCAGTGTGATTGCCTAGTTGGCCGTGTTATTAGTGGGAGGTTTAGGAACGCGTCTTCGAGCGCAGATCCTATCCTCAGCGCGAGTGCCAAGTTGAACGTGTTATCAGCGAGAGGCTTGAGAACGCGCCTTCGAGCGCAGACACTATCCTCAGTGTGAGTGCCTAGTTGGCAGTGTTATTAGTGAGGGGCTTAGGAACGCGGCTTCGAGCGTAGATCCTATCCTCAATGTGAATGCCTGCCACCGTTGAGAGGTCTAAGGACGTGTATTTCGGCCATGGGATATGCTAGTTGGGCCTAAATAAGTATCATTTCCGTGTAGTCTACAGAATTTGTGGCAAAGCTCGCACGCTGCAGGCTACAAACATGAACTGAGAACGAGAGAGAATGTGAAATCCCACATTAGCCTTCCGAATAGCTGATTAAAATCGACTTATCAGAATTGGCTTTCAAGCTTTGAAACTTTCAAAGACTTTGAAAGTGCTTTGAAAGAACCGGCCGGAGCCGATTTCACCACCGAACGGACTAGTAGAGCTGTCGACACACTTCATGGTATAAACATCGACAGGGTGACCGATCTGGAATGCCTATTGGTGAACGATACGCTCTTGACGGCTCTCTACAAAAGGTTCTCTCCAGAGGTAGCAGAAGCCACAGATGCTCAGAA